GTCTCGACGAGACGAGAGGGTGATTTTCTCTAGAAAAAAGGCTCGAGACGAGAGAATGCTCTTTCTCGCTCGAGAATTTCTCGTTTCTCTCGATCTCTCTCGTTCTCTCGATTATTCCGGTAATAAGAAAACAATTTTTTTACATAAAAATTATAATTTTGCATATAAATGACGATATTTATTTGGACCAATGAGAACATTATTCGCATTTTATAATAAACAAAATTTGTTCCTGTTTAACGTTTTATTATTTTATAACACAACTTAACGTTAACCAAGAAAAAAATACTTATAAAATAATATTAATTTTTAACATTTACCCTGTATAAGCACATCTATGGCACTCCTTATACTATTAAGCAACCAGTATGCTTAACAAGCATTGCTTATTCAATAAACTTATCAACAACATGTGGTATTTGATATCCATTTCTTCAAAAAATAAAATGGCTGATCCAATATGACGAAAATTTGTCGTTCGGCTTTAATGGTTTGGGTAAAATTTAGTATTTAGATATTTATGGGATTAAGAATTTGATATCCATTCAAAAAACAAAATTGCGGATTCAAAATGACGGACATGCGCAGTAGGTACAAGATGGTTGGAACTATGTGGAGTAGTTACATCATATAGGCGCAGTACTTTTCAGATGGATGGATGATTTGATCCATCCATCTGAAAACTACTGCGCCTATATGCTAGATGTAACTACTTCACATAGATCCAACCATTTGATTCAAATGTGCGACATTTTCGGCGTAAAAAGACTAACTTCATCAGTGTGGTCTTGGCACAATTTTTTTTATTTTCAGTTTAAATTTCTTTAGAAAAAATATAAACGAATTCGTATTTCATTGCAAATAATTTTTGTATTCATACATAGCCTATGTAACATAGGTACTTTTACCACGAGAGAAACGAGACGAGACGAGAGAAAGGCACTCTCGAGCGAGAAAAGAGTATTCTTGACGAGACGAGAGACCCATTTTCTCTCGCTGCACGAGACGAGACGAGAGAAGGACTTTTCTCGTCTCGTCTCGTCTCGCGGCATCACTACATAAAATACATTAAAATTTTAGTTTTAGTATTTAAAACGTCATATTGTTAAGATAAATATGATCTATTTGCCGTATACCAATTACTTCAGTAGTCAAGATAGATTTAAGCCAAAATAATTTAATAAATAATTAAAATACTAACAAAAAATTTACATTTTGAGGTGATTGAGCAGAGCATTTTATTACAAAATTATTTTAAGTCCTAGACGTCCTAGAGAAAACCGAATGACATTTTTGAAATCAGCGGCCCAAAATTAGTTAAACTAAGCTGAAGTACTCAATGTTAGGAAAAAAAGTTTCTAAAACTATCATAGTGTTATAATTGATAACCGCGCTCTCCAAAGGAAGTCTGTTATATAGGCATGAAAGAACCTGAGCTATTAGCTTTTTTCGCGGAACTAATTCCGGACATCCTATAGGCACGCGCTTTTAAAAATTTGGCTTTAAAATAATTTTAAATATTTAAAAAAAAAATTAAAATTATTTAAAATACGCATGCAAAATTTTAAAATGCGCATGCCTAGGATGTCTGAACTAGTTCAAGATTAGCACCGCGAAAACACCTTGATTACATGTGATTGAGTTGAATTTAAAAAAATTAACAATAAATCAACTGCGACTGTTTTCAACAAAAACTGGGTTTAAAATCCGATTATTTAAATTGTCAAAAAATCTGGCGCGTTCACACGCTAAAAGCAATAATTAAAAACAGGAAGCAAGGTTAGATACATCTGATGAGTAAATTTTTTTATTGGTTCAAAGTAGTAAATAATGAATTTTTACTAACCTAACCCGATTAATCTTGCTTATTTTTAAGTGCCTAGGTCATAGACCGAATAAAGATAAGAGTTATTTATGTCATGGCTAAAAAGTGCTTTTGTGCTGAGCCAAAGTTTAAATGCTGGCGCGTAGCAGATGCCTACAATTGAGCTAAGCACTTCTGGCATACATTTTATCTGTAAGGCATATTTTAATAATACATACAACTTAAAATTAGATCTAACAATAGGCTAATGTTTTAATTGGTTTAAACGGGTGTTTTAAGATTAGGTGGTATAAAACCCAATTGGTCTAAATTATATTTACAGCCTAGGAGGTTTTTTGATTGAGGATAAATACAATACAATATTCTAAATGCTCTTTAAGGAAACAAATCTCCATGTTTATATATATCGAGCCTTTCGTCACATGAAAATATCTTTAAGTTACGCTTGTCATGAAAAATAGTGTACATAATATATACACTATTTTTCATGACAAGCGTAAGGAAAATACTATTAAATAAAAATTATACATACCAACCTAAAGACTATTAAAGAAGTTTACTTTAGCATTTACAGCTAATTTTTTGTATAACTACCCCAGTAGCACACCAATATTGGTAAAATATTATTTTTACATATTGGCCCAATGATGGAAACGTCAGATTGTATTTTAATGGTCCTATATTTGTATTAAATATTGATCCAATATTGACATACAATATTAACCCAATATAGGTGACATTTATTTTACCACTTTAATATGTAAATATAGGACCAATATTTGTATTCAATACCGATCCAATATTTAAATGCAATATTTACCCAATATTTGTGCCATATATTTTACCATTTTAGTTTGCAAATATAGGACCTATATTTTTATTTAATAATGATCCAATATTTACCCAATATAGGTGATATATATTTTACCATTTCAATTTGTAAATAAAGTAAATTTTTTACGTTAAATTATAAAGTTTGATGTATATACATGTATATATATATATAAATTTGGGAATAGAAAAAATAGATATTTATAATTCAATTTTAAATAACGAAAATATATTTTATTGGTCTATGTATTACATAAAACATTAAAACACATACATAAACCATGATGTTACAAACTATCATGAAACATATTATCTGTTTTTGTATCCACCCCCCTCTATCTGACGCCCCGCCAAATACAGGGATATGGAATTGTTTAGTTCTGAAGTTGGGAAGCGTTTACGGATAGCTTCTATAAAGAAAAATAAATAATAATTTACTTTGCAAAAATTAAAAAAAAATTACTTATTACAGCCAAATGACAAGATAATTTTCGAAAGGATAGCTTTCCTTTTTTTTCAGTCCCTAAATACAGCCACTTCCATTGATAAAAGTTTATTCATTATTAGAAAAACTGCCTTGTGGGCAGTGTCCCCACCACAAAGGTACAATCGGTGACCCTATAATAAACAACGTGATAATTTGTATCGAACTTTTAACATAATTCTTACCGGCATTTCAGCATTTTTTTCTTCCATCAAGTGCAGTTTCTGGATATTCATGGTTATAATATTTATATAATATATTAAATTTTATATAGGTACTTACATTTACTTTGCACAGGATACAAATTTTGTTAATTTGCAATCGATAAATAGGTATAGATATCACGAAGAAAAACTTTTACATGTGTTTCAGACAACCGGATGGAAGTGTCAAACACGGTGTTTGACACTTCCACCCGGTTGTTGGTATGCGTGAATTCGCGGCGAGCGCGCGCAGCATGTGTTGGCTTTGTACAAGTGTTGTCAGTACTACAGAATTTTCCCTACACAATATATACCCAATATAGGTCCAATATTAGAAAATAGGACATTATATATAATGCCGTTTAATTGTTAAAAAGAGAATCTATGTTTTTAGTTTGAACTTGGTAAGATTTTACTCCATAATTGAATGAAATATAAGCACATATAGAAAGCTTTTTTCTCAGTAACATGTTTAATAAAAATTGGCCCAATATTGGGTTAATATTAAAATCAAATGAATGCGAAGGTGGTAATGCCAATAAATTACCAATATTGGCTAAATATTGCCAATATTGGGCCAATAAACAATATTTTACCAATGTAGTTAATATATTGGCCCAATATTTTGTGCTACTGGGGTAGTTAAGTCTTCTGCTTTCCCCAGAATTTTTCCATTTTCGCATTACTCAAAATTTGTTTTTTTTAAATTCATATTATACAGTGTTAACCAAGTATTCTTCTATGTGAATAATACTTCTACATACCCATAGGGGTATTTAAGAACTACAAAGTCGGTTAAATAGAAAAAAATTGCAAAATTACAAGCCAATTTAAATGAAATTTATAAATCGGAAAAAATCCACCTGTTCTTAAAATATATAAAAAACTAATAAAAGTTTTAAACCAAAAGTCGCTTTGTTATTCCTATTAATTTAAAGAAAAAGTAAATTTTTCCCTGTACCTAAACACATTTGTTTATATAAATTAATATACCTACATTTTTATTCAATTTTTTCGCTACCATATTTTAAGTTACCATCTTTTGTTTTTATAATGGCGGTTATAAATTCTGTAGTTTGAAACATCATTCGATTCCTTATTTTTTCTATCTTACCATGTAAAATTTGGTATGGCAAAACCAAAAGGTGGTGATGGTAACTCAAAATCTAGTAGGTGAAATAAGATAAAAATGTAGATAAATTTGTATTTTTACACGTAAATTAACTTTTATTCAAAATTTTAAATATTATCAACGTTACTTTTCTCCAATTTAACCGACCTTGTAGTTCCTAAAATACATACATGTTCCTGGCCAAATCACCCACTCCTGAAACCCTTTTAATTGGCTAAAATTTTTATGTTATACTACCCCACTAAAAGTATTTTAAATTTTTTCTACACAGCCGAAAAAAGGTTGAATTTAAAAAGGTGTTTTTTTCAATGCTTTAAGCTTCAAGCTTAAAAATATTTAGCGTGGGATGTCCTATATTATATAATAACTTTAATTTAAAAAATTATACTTTTTTATGTTAATTATATAAAAAAATAACAGGATATAATGTCAATTTTTGGCAAAAACTGGTAATTTTTTAATCTTATTAAATTTACAAATATTTGTATAAAAACGTTTTTCTAATTATATAATTTTAAAAATCATGCACAATATAATAATAATTTTTTTTTTTAAATTTTGTTTGTACTATAAACAAGATATTCCAGCCAAATTTAAATTTTGAATAAAAATTTGACGTGAAATAAACCGTACTTAAAAACAAATAAATTCTCAAAATCACGATAAGTAGGTTTGTTGGTAGCATTTAATGCATCGCCTTTCAACATCGTAAAGTCTAAAACTTTGATGCAAAGGGTCCGGACATTCCATACAATTAACTTTCCTTATTTCGCAGTTATTAAACATGTCACACGCTTTGTAGTTGTAATACTGTTTTCTGCTCCAACCAAGAGTTGGTCCGTAGTCCTGGAAAGGATTTTGGAAGTTTAAGTTAACGTTCGGTATTTTATCCATTTTGGGCGGGTAAGGGTACTTCATCGCATAGTTATGTTGAAGTTTATTTTCTGCTTGCAATCTTAGAAAATAGTCTTTTTGGTAATACAAATCTTCTTCTTTGGCACCGTTGGATTGTATTAAACCATGTATTAATACTGTCGACCATATTAACAAAATAAAAACTTGCAGTGGCCCCTAAAATTACAATTTTAGTATTGGAATTTTGTTTTAGTTATTTAAATTGGCGCATATTCAAATTAACAAAAATGTATGTTTTTTGTGTTGTGTTAATTTAACATGTCTGCAAAGTACGTAGCCATATCACTAGTTTACAAAATCGAAAAAAAATTCTGCCCACCATATCCCATTATAATTTTTCCATGTATTTTGACGCACTAAATACGAAAATTACAAAAAAAAAATTTTATGGAAGCGTTTTTGAAATATGAATTTTCAATTGTTTTTTTTATTTTCGGAGGTATTTTGACGTTTTTGAGTATAGCTTAAAATTTAACTGATCGATTTGGTCTAAAACTTTATTTTACATACTTTTGATATCGGATAAGTATTTTGACGCTAGCGATTTTAATAACTTAAAAAATTCATTTTTATGGCAAAAATTTAGGTCGAAAATTTACATATCGTCCTGGGAAAGGTTTAAATCAAACAGATAACTCTAGTTTGGATTGTTTTTCGTGAAGCTGGCATTTTTACAAAAAAAACAAGCTAATGTTGATAAAAATGCATGAAAAAATGGCGAAGTTATGAATTTTTTAGTGGAAGACCAAAATTTAGCTTTTTGACGATTTTTATTTTTTTTTTCTTTTAATTCGTAATATGTTTATTTTTTAATGAAAATCTAATTAAAGTGCATGATTGGAATTTTTTAAGTTTTTTACGTATTTTTTTCACTGAAAACATATAAAATTTAAATTTGACATGACTCCCCAAACGTGAATTCTTTTGTTTCTCGTGTTGACATAGTGACATTTTACTGATATTTTTTGATATTTTAACAGAGTATTTTTATTTACTTAATAAAAAGTGTAAAATAAGTGCGACGTTAGTGATGAGCACGGAGAACGTTTTCACCAGCAAATGAAGGCTATGGAGCGGCGGTATCACGGCTTCTGGGATGCAGCCATGATGGGTGATTACATTTGGTCCCTTATACGAGAAATGAAATACGAAAGCAACAAAATATAAAAAAGGAGCCAGATTTTTTTTAAACCTATGCTTATTACAACAAAAAAAACTTTCAATGTTCAATATTTATTGTTCAATACCTATTCAATATATAATTTAATTTCAATATTTAATGTTTATAAAAATAAATGTTTAATATTAAACTTTATATAACTCAATAAAATGAAAAAAACTAAAAATTCTCGAAAAAACTGAATTTTGGTCTTTTATTGAAAAATTCATAACTTTGCCATTTATCCATGGATTTTTATCAACAGCAGCTTATTTTTTTCTTTTAAGTATAATCTATACGTAAAATAAATCAAACTGGACTTATCTTTTTTAGATTTCTATCTTTCCTAGAAAAAAGGACTTTTTCAACTTTATAAAATCACCAGTATCGAACTACTGAGACGATACTAAAACTATACAAGATAAAGTTGTAGAAGGCTCAATTACCTTTGATTTAAGTGCTTGTTTGGTCAAATCGGTCAATTAGAACTCGAAATATACTCTCAAACGTCAAAACACCTCAGAAAATTAAAAAAAAAACAATTGAAAATTCATATCTCGAAAACTCATGAAAAAAATGTTAAGTGTGATTTTCGCGTTTAATAAGACAAACTACACAAGAAAATAATAGTAAGACATTGTTGGAAAAACGGTTGTGTTGATCGATTGATGAATGTAATATAATAAATGAAAATTTCTGTTATTTCTTGACATACTGTATAAGCAATATAAAAATAACTTTTACTCAAGAAAAATTAAAGGTTTGTTGTGTATTAAGCTCCAAAAATTTACTTTTAAAATATTCTTTTACATTTTTACTTACAAGTTAAAATAAAAGTAAACTTGGCTGACTTATAAAAAATTGATGAAATACAAACTTTTTACAAGTACAACGCGCGTTTCAAATATTTTTGGATATTATATTGCTACATTATGTAAATATTTCAATAGCAAAAGTATGTCTTAAAAAAACAAGAGCGAAAATTAAATTTTACATAAACAACTTAACAAAACATGTAAGGTTAAGACATTTTTACCATATTTTGCGCACTAAACACTACACAGGCACAATCACAAATAATTGTTATCAAAAACGGATTGCTTATGTTGACCTCACACTTTAAGATATGTGTTGGGTCATCTTTTAAACAGTCATTAAGATTTTTATTATTTTTCCAGAAGTTTGTTAATAAAAATTAATTGAGTTTAGATCATTAATATTTTATTATTAGTTATCCTTGGTAATTGATTTTGTTATTTTAATTAAGGTTTAAACTAAGTTTTCAAGTTTTAATATCCATAAAATTGAAATTTTTTATGTGGTTTTATTAGTTTAGGTAACTTGGTTATATATTTATTTATAGTATAAATTTTAAACATTTATTTAAAATTTTGCAAATAATAAAACACTTTAATATGGATTTTTAAACCATACAAACCTACCATAATTCTTTATAATAAATAAGGCAAAAGGTAAAACTATTATAGAGGGTATCTCAGGCTTTGGTAGCAGGATTTTACCGACGTATATTATAGATTATTTTACAATTATTTAGGAACCTAAAGGTCATATCGTCCCAATTATCGCATAAGGGCGTATCTTTAAATTTAACAATTTCAGAGCATTTTAAAGAAAGTTTTCAGCTAATTTAAAATATTATTTGAAAAAATGTGCTACTGGGTATTACATTAAATCTACTACCTAGTGGCACATACTAGTGCCACATTTAATGTAATACTTAGTAGCACATTTTTTTAATTAGCTAAGATAATCTTTAAAATGCTCTGTAATTTTTTTAAATGTGAAATACGCCCTTATGTGATGATTGGGACGATATGTCATTATATTAACACTTTTTAAGATACACTGTTCACTGTTAGTCTAGAATGGGGTTTTGGGAAGCCACCAGGTCTAGTAATAACATAACATAAGTGGTTCTGCACTAATGCAACTTTAAGAAATCACACATTTTGAATATTAGAGCTTCACGGAAAATAGGTTTTTAAATAGCAAATTAATGAACTTAAACTTTTGAATTATAAAACAGCAACACTCTCATCTGCATATAAATTCTGACTTTCAGGAATCACATGTACTATAATGTCGTAAACAGAGATTTTTGCTTATTTAAAATGATTAAAGCAAAAAGTTTCACGGAGGATAGAATCAATTTTTGTAACACCTACATAAATGGTTATAAAAATTATTTCTTTTAATTTTTAATAATATTTTATATTTGATTCGATTGCTTTGGATGTGTTTAATTTACTTAGTGAACTGATATTTCTAGTATGCTTTTACTACCTCAGATAGAAAGAGTAACAGTCACGGAGGATAGGTTTAAGACTTTTAAAACATTGTAAAAAATAATTAATCGCGGTTAAAAATCTGGAACCTGAGCTGTAATATCTACTTAATTATGAAAGATCAAAACACAATAAAACTGTAGGTCAAACTCATTTAGTTTTATTAAATATAACGGGTAACACCATCGGGGGACATTTCGTGAGATTCACCTATTAAGGAAAATACGTCAAACTTTACACAAGATATAATGGAATTTTATTTAATTAAGCTTAACAATATACAAGATTTTTGGATAACCAAATGGTTCTTGGGTATGTTTATTTACTTTTAAACAACCCCAAGCAGCAATTTGTGCCTAAACTTGCACACAAAACTTAGTGTTTTTAAATTGTTTTGACACAAATCTAAAAACTTAAGTCTGAATGGAAATTACGTCCATTCTTTAAATTTGTGTCTGCTTTATGTCGATACCTTTTAGACCAATTGTGTCGAAATAGTATGGGTCTAAGTAGCATTATTTTAGAAATTTGCGCCTCATGGAAACAGTAGTACAATTTGGACTTAGTTGACTCAATGTTTTCATATTGTGCCTTACTTATCTGTTATTTATGTTGTGAGAAGCGATTGGCTCACTTCCCCACCTAATTCTCTCATAATGTAAATTGTGTATTCTTGAACTTGGAGGAGCAGTTTACACAAAAATTTTTGTGCCACGTTGACAAGATGTGATATATAAAGTTTTGACCAATTAGAATATAAAACGAATCGCCTCACCTAAAGTTTTAGATGATTTAAAAGTGTTACCAACTTTGTTGAGTTTTCTTCAACACTATATTAATTTAATATTAATTTTTTTTAGTTTAATTTTATTAAATGTATATTTAGATTTATGTGCAATGTGGGTTGCCTTAATTCAATGGTTAATTTGTTTAATTTATTATTTTTCGCGATAATTACGCCCCTGGTGGCAATAACGCCTGATACAGACAATTGCGGACACACGTGCAAGAATCACCGAATAACGCGCATACTTAAAAATTCGACGCTTCTCGACCGGCAAGAAAATTGTGTGGTGGTGCTCCTTATTTCAAAGGCAATTTATGAAGAACCAGAACTACAGTCCACTCCGTCAGAAAATAAGCAAGGTAAGTCACTAGGGGTTGTCTCGTTTATTTTTTTTTAATCTTTTACGCAACATTTTTTGGCCCTTCTTCGCCAAATTGTTTTTTAAATTGCTGTTGAATTAAGGCAGATAAACCCATAATTGATTATTGATTTTTCGATATATTATACTAATTTTGCATTCATAATTAACGTATAAAATTTAATTTAAAACGAAAGTTTTAAAACGTTTTTACGCTTCGTTTTTGTTACCCATAGTTTTTGCCGGTATTTCGCTCTTTTTCGTGCACGCGCTCTCTCTTTGTTTATTACAATTGTTTAATTTCTCACTTTTGCGCTACTTCTCACCTTGTCTCACTTTGTTGTCAATTTAATAACAATTTTCTTAAAATTAATACTGTTCACTTATATTTGGAAATCAACCGTTTTTAAATTGTTAAATTTTATTATTCTATCATACATCTATACAGGGTGTTTATTTTCGTCGCTTTAAATAATTTAAATAGTTTTTAAATTTGCTATTCTAAATACACCTATACAGGATGTTTACTTTCGTCGCTTTAAATAATTTAAATATTTTTTAAATTTGCTCTTCTAAATACATCTATAGGTACAGGGTGTTTACTTTTCGTCGCTTTAAATAATTGAAATATTTTTTTGAATTTGTTATTCTAAATATAAGTGCATAGGTGGGTATATATAAAAATGACTACCAACGCAAACAAGGTAAAACAATACAATGCTCTTAGAGCAATTAATATATGTGAACTCGCTGAATTAAAAACGATCGCTGAAAGCGCCGAGACAGATGAAGATAATTTTGTTAACTTCCGAATTTCTTATCAACGTCTCACAGAAATTTATAATGAATTTAAGAAAAATCATGCTGCTTTGATTACTCTTTTGGCGACAATAGAAGATTCTAATTTGGATGCTGAAGAATTAGTTCGTGCTCAGTTTGAACAAGATTATCTTGTGATTAGAACAATTCATTTTAAACTCTGTGAGACAGACTCACAAACTAAACCTTTAACTTTGGTAAAATCCCAAGATAATTCACAACGCAATATTCGCTTGAATAAAATAACTTTACCTAAATTTACTGGTGATTTTACTAAATTTAAAACGTTTATTGACACTTTCAATTCTCTCGTTCACAATAACTCGGCTCTTTCAGATATTGAAAAGTTTCATCACTTATATGATTCCCTAACTGGTCCTCCTTTAACCGTTGTACAATGTGTTCCTCTAACCGCAGACAATTACGCAGTTGCATATAATTCTTTAATGAAAAGATACCACAACAAACGTTTAATGGCTACAGCTTATCTTCGAAAAATTGATGATACAGTTTCATTGAACGAAACGACAGCTAATACTCAATCTTTAAGAAATTTAGTTGATACTTTTGAGGAAAATCTAGCTGCATTAGATAATCTCGATTTCCCAGTTGCTGAATGGGATTTCTTACTTTTTTACATGCTTAAAAAAAGGTTAGATAAAAACACTATAACCCAATTTGAACTAAACTTAAATTGTAATAATGAAACTGTCCCAAATTTTGAAGAGTTAAAAACTTTTATTGCTAAGCAGTGCAACGCTTTAGATAATATTGATTCACAAATTAAAACTAAACCTAACTCATTTAATAAAAACAAATTTATTCCCCCCAAACCCATTAATCGTGGTAACGCATCTGCATTTGTCGCAAATACTGGTAAGTTGTTCTGTGTTCTGTGCAAGTCAGAACATTCTATTTACCAATGTGAACTTTTTAATAATAAGACTCCTCACGAACGTTATGACATTGTCAAGTCTCACAACTGGTGCATTAACTGCCTTGGTAGTAAACATACCTCCAAATATTGCCAGTCTTCCTCTGTTTGTCGCGTTTGTAAACAAAAACATCACTCTCTTTTACACTTTGGGGATAATAACTCAATTCAACCCCGTCCTCATAATTTGGAAATTGCCCAGACTGATTCTCTTGTTGGTATGGCCTCTACACAATCTAGTGTTCTTCTCTCAACTGCTCTTGTTCAAGTTTTAGATTCCCGCCAAAATTACCAAACCCTTCGCGTACTCATTGATTGTGGTTCCCAAGCTAACTTTATCTCAGAAAAATGTGCTCGCCGCTTGGGACTCCCTCAATTTAATTTGCCCATGTCTATTCATGGAATTGGTTCTACGAAAACCACCTCAACCTCTGCAGCTATATCCTGCTCCTTAAGACCCATAGATAATCCTCTAGTCACCTATAATATTGATGCCATGATTCTACCCGCAATCTGCTCTGATATACCCACCACAACCTTTTCCATTAAACCGTGGTCTCATATTTCCAATTTAAAGTTGTCCGATCCTGACTTTAATAAGCCAGGTAAGATAGATATGCTATTGGCAGCAGATATATTCCCTTTAATTTTAGAAAATGGTAAGGTAATGGGTGGCCCAGATGAGCCTATAGCACTTAACACTGTGTTTGGGTGGATTTTAATGGGCAAAATGGCATATCCCACCAATTCATCTCTTAATATTAAGTCGTTTTTTTGTCAGCTTGATTCGGCATTAGATACAACAATTAAAAGATTTTGGGAAATTGAAGAACTTCCAGCTTCACCTAAAATCTCCCCTAAAGAAGAGCAGTGTGAGAGAATTTTTATGCAAACAACTACTCGTAACTCCCAAGGAAGATTTGTCGTTTCACTCCCTTTCCAAAATAACATTCCAGATTTTGGAGATACACGTAGTTTGGCACTTCGTAGATTTTTCCTTTTAGAACGTAAACTCCTTCACGACCCAGTGTTACATCAAAATTACTCTGATTTTATGATGGAATACCTAAAAAGTGGTCATATGAATATTTTAGATAATCCTATTCTTGAAAATAGCTACTACATTCCCCATCACTGTGTAATTAAACCAGAGAGTACAACTACAAAGTTAAGAGTTGTATTTGATGCGTCCGCTAAACTCCCTGGTAAGCCCTCACTCAATGATTCTCTTTTAATAGGAGAGAAATTACAAAAGGATATTGTCACTATTCTTTTAAATTTCCGTTTTTTTTCATTTGTTTTTTCTGCTGATATTAAGCAAATGTATCGTCAGATACTTGTTAACCCAGAACACACTTCGTTTCAAAGAATTCTTTGGCGATTTTCCCCCGATGATCCTGTAAAGGATTATCGACTTAATACGGTGACGTATGGAGTTTCATCAGCTCCATTTTTAGCACTTAGAACTATAAAACAATTGGCCATAGATAGTAATTCTGAATTTCCTTTAGCTTCTCAAACTATACTCTCTGATGTCTATGTTGATGACATTGTAACTGGTTGTAACTCATTGGAGGAAGCGTTGACATTGCAACACCAACTTATTACTCTTTTAAACTCTGCTGGATTTGAATTACGAAAGTGGGCTAGTAACCATGAAAGGTTGCTGTCTCATTTACCTACAGATTATTTAAATAGTCAGGTTTTTTCTTTTGATTTGGAACCAGGCTCGTGCATAAAAATATTGGGTTTGCAATGGCATCCTTCTTCGGACTCATTCTCTTATAATGTAAAAGTTTTTTCTGAAAGTTGCACGAAGCGTTCCATCCTCTCTGAGTTGGCACGTATATTTGACCCGTTAGGCTTCCTAGCTCCATTGACATTCTCTGCTAAAGTTTTGATTCAACAACTTTGGTCTTTGGAATTAGATTGGGATGACTCACCACCTAAAGATGTATTATTACGTTGGAATAGGTTTAAGTTAGAACTTCCTGAGCTTTCAAAATTATACGTACCTCGACATATTTTTCTTTTCTCATCTAATTCATGTGACGTTCATGGTTTCTGTGACGCATCTGAGAAAGGTTACGCAGCTATTGTTTATTTTGTTAATGAAAATAAAAATCCCTTTCTTGTATGTGCTAAGTCCAAAGTGTCCCCTCTCAAAAGAATTTCTATACCTCGATTGGAGTTGTGCGCTGCAGTTTTATTGGCTGATTTAATTTCATTTGTAGTAGAGACTTATAAAGGTAAAATAAACTGTAACAACATTTATGCTTGGTCAGATTCAACTATCACTCTTGCCTGGATAAAATCGTCTCCACATAAATGGAAAACTTTTGTTAGCAATCGGGTTTCTTCTATTCAGGATAAAACTTCTCCTTCTATGTGGCGCCATGTGCCCACACAGGAAAATCCCGCAGATTGCGCATCGCGCGGGTTGCTACCTTCTGAATTAATAAGTCACCCTCTCTGGTGGACAGGACCTCAATTTCTAAAACTTCCACCTTCTTCCTGGCCTACCTGCAGTGTAACTTTTAACGAAACGCATCTCGAAGAAAGGAGAATTGTCTTAGCAGCTTTTGATGACCCTCATTGTTTGGATATTCTCCTAACCAAGTTTTCCTCATTAGGTAAAATTAAAAGAATTATTGGATACGCCCTTCGTTTTGTTTATAATTTGAAACATCCTCATTCTCGAAAGTCGTCATTCGAAACTTCTGATCTAGACAACTCTCTCATGGTTCTTGTTAAGCA